ACAGTTAGAGAATTGCAATGGTTGAGCTATTTACTCCATGATTTAAAGATTACTCTCTCTCTGCCAATACCTTTCTATTGTGATAACAAAGCAGCACTCTATATTACTGCCAACTCAATTTTTCACGAACGCACAAAACATATTGAAATCGATTGTCATGTGGTTCGTGAACAATACAAGAGCGGCTTCATCAATCCCAAGCATATTACTTCAGCTGATAATCTTGCTGATTTCTTCACTAAACCGCTTTCTTCGTCAGTGTTTGCACGACTTCTGTCCAAGCTCAGCATGTGGAAACCTTTCCCAGCTACGCTTGAGGGGGGAATATTGAAGAATCACACAGCCAGCATGGCAATGATCATTTCCTGCCAACAACCAACTTCAAATTTGAATCCACCAACTGAAGCAAACGACGACGTTCCTGTTTCCCAGTTTTCTTCTTCTTCAAACACAAAACATGCAGAATGCGTTCGCCAAAGCCTGCAACTTGTAGGAGCTGCTGCCGAACTGGAAAATCATAAGGAGCTTCCAGAATCTTCACGTGAAACCACGAGCAACACTTGGATCCCACGGAATGTACTTGGAGATCACGCAAAAGGATCTTCTTGTAATTATTTTGCAGGCAGTTAGAGGGAAGATTTTAGAGTACGGCTTAAGATTGTAAATTGTAGAATGCAGATTTTTAGTTGTATATAAATAGATCTAGATTTCTTTTAAAATACACCTTGAGAAACATACACAGTATAGAAGATGTTTTCATTTCCGGTTTTCGTTAGCTCTCCGTTTCTTTCGATCCTAAGTTTTTTTATGAGTATATGACAGATTTTTTCCATGATGACCAATTTGACGATCAGCAAATTAAGATTTATGGGTAAATATTAGTTATGGTGTATCGATTCATTGAAAAAAAAAGAATTGGGGAAATGGAGAATGAAAGATCAGTCAAACTTTAGAGTAGATTATCGATTCGTTGTAAAATTGATTTGAGAAAACCCAGTTCAGAAGGTATAAATCGCGGTTAGGAGGAAAATAAAATTGAGAAACTCATATCGAAACGATGTCATTTTTGAAGTCGGGGGTCCAAAGAAACACCAACCAAACAACGACGTCGTTTGTGCAGTCCTGGGGTTTATTTTAAATACAGAAAAATAAGGAGAAAATCCAATATATTAATTTACGGATGTAACCGCACTTAAGTCGTGACGGTGAAATTAATATAAGTCTTTGGATTGAGGTCTATTAGCGGACGAGATCTTATCTGGAGAGTGAATATTTTTCGCTCAATATTTTTGACTTAATATCTTTGTCTTATAGACTTTTATTTAAGTACTGGGACTAGAATAAGAAAAAGAACGAAAATTATGCAAATATTTTTATGAGGCTTAAGCGTCCGTTACATGCATGGAAGTGGATTAGGTAAATGGAGCCACAAATCGATAATAATGACGGAAGATATAAAATTAGGTTATATTCCCTCCGTCCCAGAATTATTGTCTACTTTACTCAAAAAATTTTGTCCCAAAATTATTGTCCAATTTGACTTTTTATGGATCAAGTTACACATTTGTCCTTAGTAAAAAACATTATCCATAAAATCTTTGTGGTTAAACAATTACTTATGTAAGGATATATCCGGTTGTTCAAGGTAAAATATAGTTAAGTTTGACTAAAAATAAAATCTTTCATTTTAATAAAACTGGACAATAATTATGGGACGGAGGGAATAGTAGTATTACGAATAATATTAACGATAATTTTGTCAGATATCATGGTTTTGCTAGTTTGGCAACTATACTTTCAAATACGCTAGGTCATTAAATTATAGTAATGCTGTTTTTAGTTTTCTAGACTTTAGTTTTCATTTTATACATTTCGGTACTATAACTTATATTCATTCGCATACCATGTTAATGTATCTACTATCAGCAATACTTTCTTTCTGAATTATAAATATCTTGATATGTGAAATAACTTACCAAAGCATGCATCAAATCATTTTTCAGCGAATTTAAGGATTTGATAATCATATAAGCACAAATTTAAATGAATATTTAGGGGCATCTTTTGTTTCTTAGATTTCATTTACTTTATTTTTCCAAAGGTATCCTCTGTACATAATGATTGTCCGATTTCTGGTAAAAATTATACTCGTTCTAAAATGATTGTGTAGTTTGGATTTGAGTTTTTAATACAAATCTCAAACTGAATAATTATTTCGGAACAGAAAAATTACTAAAAATGAAAATCCAAATATGACACATTTTTTTGGATGTAAGGAGTAAGTGGGGAATTTAATAGGGTTAGTTTAAAACCATATTATTATTTATGTTGCGTACCAAAAACAATCGTACTTAGATCTTTTTATTTTCTTTATTATTTAAAAAAAAGTAATAAAAAAGAGGCCAGGTTCACTATAACTGCTACTTTGTTTCCTAGCTGGCTGCCGAATGGCCGGCGGCAGTGGCTCCATGATCTCTGACTGGATTAAGGGAGCTTGGTTATCAGCTTTATATTTAAAATGACTTTTTTTTTTTTTTTGTGGATATGAAAAGGACAATGATTGTTGGCCTCAAACAAATAAATACATATTACTCCCTTCATCCTATAATTATTATCCAATTTAAATTTTTATTTTTAGTTCAGATTGTATTAAAAGTAAAATCTTAAACTGAACCAATAATTTTTAGGACAGAGGAAATATTATTATTTGAACATCATATGAAGATCGAGGAAAGAAATGAGGGAACGGGATGGTGTTGAAATATTTTAAAAAGAAGTTTTGATAAAAGTTTGAGACGTTATATAAATAATACAGTAATATTTTTATTTCTTTTAGATGAAATAAGAATTCATCCACATCATCGGACTATTCTCACTACCTGCAAAACAGTCACTGACCGTTGCCGGATTAATTGCCGGATCCCGACCAACTTCTCCTTTGGGTGTTAAATTATTCCGCAACAATTTTCAGGATATTGGGAAATCATTGTCTTTGGGAGGTGTATAGGATTCTCCATAGCTATGTTGTGTATTTATTGGCTTACAAAAAAAAAAATATTATTGAATCTCCTTTATACATGATATTTGTCTGTCTGAAAATATCGAACGAAACTCTGGATTGATTTGGAACATTTAGAGTATAAAATTTTCAGGTTAATGAAGATTCTGTATTTTCAAGCAAAAACAAGGGTATATTTGTTTCATTTTTTTAGTGTGTGTTTTTAGGTGTTTTTTGTATTAGGAATATAAAAATGTATTTTGAAAATGTAATAAGATATGCTGAATTGAGACAGTTATTATTTTATTAATTTAAAAAAAAACATAAAAAAAGCTAAACAAACAAAGCCTAAACTTGTTAAAGCTTTTACTGAACTACTCATTAGTCCTGTTATAAGGGATCATCGATTCACAACTTGTTAATAATTTCAACACAATATAGTTGGCTAGTTGCAAAGCAAAAAGGTGTGTGATATCATTAAATCAGAATTCGAAGTGGTAATGACTAATGAGTAATGAGTAATGACTAAAGAGGACCACCATACAATTGGAGAAGTTTTACTTGTTCCATTTGGCTCCTCCAATCCAAAGAAATTAATACTACTATGTCATTTCCGCCCACGAATCAAATACTCCCTCCGTCCCATAATTATTGTCCAGTTTGAATTTTCATTTTTAGTTTAAATTGTACTGAAAATTAAATCTCAAATTGGACAATAATTTTGGGACAGAGGGAGTATAAATGATCTCCAAACCTGTTTTCTTCGTCATTAGTCTCCTTGTTGACTAAAAAAATAGGTAACCCTAATTAATTTCCTGGATGAGGAGGGAGGGAAGGACCATTTTATTAATAGAACTTGGTGATTTTTTATATAAGGTCAAGTAGTACCGGTTAGTAGTTAGTATTCAATTTAAAATGAAAAAAAAAATACTAAAAAAAGTATATACTTCTAAATAGAGCTTGGGACGAAAGACAACAGTGTGATTATAATTTTATGAATCAATTTGCAACTACAAAGATACAGACACACGTGTAAACGTACAAAGGCTCTTTGGAAAATATTTCTGTATTAGAAAAAAAAGGGGGGAGGGGTCAAATTTATGGTTGAGGATATTAATTGTAGTCATTTGATGAGATGGCAAAGTCTGAAATTGTAAGCGTTCTAGAAGAAGTGAGAAATGAGAACTCAATAAGAAGGATGGGACGTCCAGAAGAGGCACCTTCAAAAAAGCTGCCTTATAAGCAAGTCAACCAAAATCGACTTAAACATGATCTTACATTTAATTGCACAATCCTACACCATGTTGTCTAATTGCTACTAGCTAGCTAGTTGTATAGTTGACTACCTTTTCTTTTGAATATTTCCTACTTATTTATATCCATATAATCTGTTTTAAATATCTTAAATGAACCTTTTAAAATGTGATTCAATCACTTGCTGATCTCGTTTTAGGACGAAGATCAGGAATTCAGGGTCTTATAATGAAAGAGCTATGATCGAGGATGTCGCATTTAATACGATCAAGAAGGTTTAGCTTGCGACTAAATTAAACAAGAATTTTGTTTAATAAAAAAAATAAAAATCCCAACGTAAACTGATATAACACGCGTAGGTAAACTGTGCGAAAGCAAATGTGGCTATCTTTTCCTCCTAGAAATTCCATGGGTTAATCCACAGCAGTGATCAGCCTCAACAACGGAAAAAAAATAAAACATAAAACTTAAAATTCGAAGATTAAGCAGTTGTATATCATTACAACACTATTTGAAATGGCTTTATCTCAATCCAAACAACCAATTTATAATTTACATTGATGATTATTTTTAAGGGACATAAGTATACATAGTTTTTTTTTTTTTTTTTTTTTTTTTGGAAAAGATAAGTATATATAGTAGTTCATTAGAAGTGGCTTTTGTAGAATTGATTTGCACTTTGCAGGTACTACTAAAAGCAATTTGGGAATAGCTTAAAATTTGTATCAACATCGTTTCATCGAGGGATATTTATTAGAAGAAGATCGTTTCATCGAGTAACAACATAGTACAGTATCATGTTTGTGGAGTTCTCATCGAATTCCAGCTGCTCCAACTCGTTTTTTTATTACTGTAATTAAGGGGACATTGAAGACGAAAACAGAAAATAACAAAGTCTACCAACACTTATGAAGACAGTGTTGTACCAGAGACAATCCTTGATCAGCAAACGCATCTTCCATTACAATAAGGGTCACAAATGATCTCAAGGAGTTTGCGCCCCAAATTGATGGAAGAGACATCATTATCATCAACCTGTGGACGGACTCCTTCTGGCAGATCGGGGATTAAGCCAAGGCCATCTGTCTGAGCAGTGGTTACCGCAAGGAGAGTGAGAAACATTGCAATTAGTATGGGAGCACTTAATTTCGCCATTCCTGAAGATTTGAAGTACTATTATTCAGTCAATTCGGTTGTTGGTTTGATGATCATAAAAATAACGGGTATCCTCCGAATAATTATAGCAAACTCGAGGCCGGTTAAGTCATTTGCTGCTCGCAAGAAACCGACAGATTGTGCAGATTTCTCCTCCCATTCACTTTGGAAAACACTAAATTGGCAAACACGCAACTGCCCAACTTGGACTTGTTGGATATACCAAAGAAGATCTGGATTCTGGACCATGATTTTACGGACATTAATTTCGTTTGATATGAAAAGTAAGTAGTCGAAATAGTTTAAGTTCAGTTCAAACATTTGTATGCGAAAATGTTTTACTACCACCGACCAGTGGGCTGATCCGGCTGTGGTGGTAACAAAAGTGGTTTTTTGTTTTTCTTTTTTTTTTTTGTTTTTCCTTAACAACATGTTGAGTTAATATCCAAGATAAGTGTAAGGTTAAAAACTAAACATATACTACTAACATTTTTGCACCGGAATTTGAACCCTTCAGGAAATCCAATAAGTGTTTGCCTCTCAGAGGATGTTGGCGCTTTGAAAGGAGCCTTACCTTTGTCCCCTTCTTTCCTGTATATTGTGCATGATGAGAATCCTGAGCCGCAGAGACATTCATCAAAGATAACTGGTATGTTTGTATTCACGGACTACAATCCAATTCCCATTGTTGACAGGTCACTAAGCCGAAGCCATATGAATGTGCGTCTGATGAAATCCTTCCCAGTCTTCATCAAAAACTTTCTATAGACAGATTATCTTGGAATCAACTATCCATAGAGCCGGCCTCACCATAAAGGCTCGGTTGTAGTTGTCAATCCTAGGCAGATATTTGGATCTTCTTCATCAGAATCAAACTCAACCTGCAAACAGTTGCATAAACAATATCAATATACTAAGCTAAATTGATTAGAAGTGAAACTTTTAACTGATCTTTCTCAATAGAGTTGATCAAGCACAGACACAACAAGAAAGAAATATGATAGAAGAGCTATCAAAAATTGCCCAACTATTAACACGTGTAATTTTCAGCTGTAGCCAAAACCACAAGCAAGTGCAAATTTGCATAACTTCATGAGCTACTTAATCACACAAACTCACATTTTCATCCTTGAACCACCTTCCATAGCCATCACGCTTCCATCCAGCTGAAGTAAACTTAAGCTCCCTCTCTCGAAGATCTCTAGATTCAAATTGGCGCCGCAAGACTTCCTGTGGAGCATTCACATTTTCAGTAGAAATGCTTGGTTGAATAGAGGGATTTTCTCTGTTATTGGAAGTATTCAACTTGACATCTGGACTTTTGCACAGTGTAGCATATGCAGGAGGGTCTGAAGCAAGTACTTGAGAAGCAGCTTGGCGCGCCTGCTTGATCAAAGGTTTGTTTACTGATGCATGTCTTTGTGCCGAAGCATTGGAGCCAGAGTTACTAGTAGCGGTAAGAGATGAATCTGCCAGTGCAATTCTCTTCTTTATCTCATTTTCTCTGGTTAACTCTCTTTCCTTTAGCTTGGCCTCTGCAACTCGGTGGCGTGATCCTTTCAAATGAGCCTAATCAAATGGTTTTGAAAAAGTCAGCAACAAACTGTAGGAGGAACAATGTTATGCCCATTAATAAACACATATCATGATGCAGACATTAAACCGTCCCTTGTGTCATCAGATAAACTTAACAGATGATGGGCGGGAGAAGATAAAGCTATGATGTCAATACTTGTTGAAAACTTTCCAGTATTAACCTGAAACCAAAAAAAATCGCCTAGCAATGGAACACCTTAGGAATATAAAGATTTATTTATCCGCTCAGAGGTGGCTAAAGGCTAATACTATGACAAGATAACAAAATATGAATATCCAGGATGTAGTGAAAAATGAAAACAGCATAGGTAATATGCCCTCTGGTTCCGCTTCATGGATTATTAAGAAAGTGTTTCTGGTACGAAATGGACTTGTTAATGTCAGCGCAAAAGTATTAAACCACAAAAAAAAAAAGGGAAAAAGAATCCCAAATCACACAAAATTGAAGCTAAGAGGCAGATATCCAGAAGCCTCAATCTTTAGCAGAGAAAACTCAAACAAAAGCAAAGAAAGCAAGAGGTAACCCGTACACAAAAAGTAAATAAAGCAGTACAATAGATTATCAAACAAAGCCAGAATACGATTGGACAAGGAAATGCGACCAATGTAGAAATCCAATTCTTGTTTTTGGGAAACATAATGTATGTAGGAGTATTAATAATATACTAAGAGCAGAAGAATGAAGAAACAATTGAATGGAAAGCGGAGGTACGTACGGAGAGAACTAAGGGGGTATCGAGGACGGGACGGTGAGGACAGATGAAGCAAAGGAATTTGCCGCTGGGAAGCTTCCTGTAAACTGAACCGTCGATTCCGTGAATAATCAGATCATCCACTCTTCTCTTCCGGTACTGAGCTTCGCGAGCCCAGCTATCTCCTCCGAACACACTCATCGGTTTTGAGCAATCACCCGGCCGGACCGGATTCCTCCCTCTCACACGGTCAGATCTCACTTCCTCAGCCGTCGGAGGATATATTTTCGCGGAATTTTTAACCTAAACCTTGGTGTGATTCAGCTCGATTGGAACTGAAGTGGCGCTGTGTCGAAAATTGAAAGGCTGAAATCAAGTAATACGACGTCGTGGATCTTAAACAGAACGTTTGACTTGACTGAAAACTGAAATTAACCGCCATAGAAGGTGTTTATTGACCAAAAACTCCACTATTTCTTTTTCAGGTACAAAAAGGAGGCCGAATCCTCAAACTATTGCATTATGCATTACTTAATTTGTTACGAGTATGAAACACCCATTATATCGTGAATTATAACATTAAAATTTATTATTTCGACTCAACGATGAGGCAAGTCACCACAATAATTGGAAAAGTAAACAAATACAAAATGATGAGAACATTCATGGTGTCAAACTTCAACCACATCACCTTTTTATTTGGGATTTCATTAGGTAACTAAGGTGATGTGGTCGAGTTTTGGACATGAAATCTGTAGCTACTAATTTGTTTCACGTAAAAAAATACCAAAAAAAAAAAACACAAAAAAGTCTCATCTTTTTCTTGCTAATAAATTGGATTAGACGACGTAGAGAAGTCGTAGAGTTTGTCTCTCATGAGTGAATGAATCAATCCCAATGGATGAGGGGCATGACCGGGAATTTCATAGTTCCGTTGCGGCAATGGAAGCCGGCCTTTTCACCGCAAGCAAAGTAGTAGGGCTGCCACCTCTTCAACACGAACTCGAATCCACCGCCACCGCCTTGGTTCACATCCGCAATCTTTTTAGCCCATCGCAGGTCACACTTCAAGAAGCTCCAGTAGTTGGGCAACAGATAAACGCTGTGTGGGAATGTGGTGCCATTTGGTGGATCATATTTGAACACTGCCAAATCCAAATTAAATTGCCATAACAAAACCAATATCAACAATTTTTTACAAAATTCTATTAAAACGATGCACGCACGTATAAGTCTATCAATGTTTAAATGTTTGACTCGTGTACTATATAATTATTATCTTCGATAAATGCACATTGTATCATATTTTACGAATGCATGGCAACGCATGTGAATAAAACATTTCATGACAAAAGAAAGACATCGATCACAGGATTAATTGATTTGACTGAATTCATTAAGCTGCAGAAGAAACAAGAAGAATATGAAAGGAACTTAAATTACCTAAAGAATCACCAATGTAAAAGGGGCCATTTTTAAGAGCCCAGTCGGTGTAGTTAAAGCCGAAGTGCCAGTTCTCGGAGCCACCAACGACCACCTTCTTGGGTTGGGTTGCATTAGTATTATGGGGGTACCATGGCCAATTGTAGTTCCAATTGTCAGGGTTCTTGTTAGCCATGGCAGTGCTGATCATGGCAAACATGAATACCACAAGCACAACAAGTGTTTTCACTGCCATAATTATTACTGCTAAGTAACAAATCAAATGAAAATGAATAAGGTGTTTTTTGCTACGTAATGCTTGTGTGTGTGTTTTAGCAATGTGAGGCGGTGAGGTTACAAGACGAATCAACTGTCCTTTTTATAGGCAAACGAAGATTGAAATGGTCGCGCCATTTCTCTTGGGTTGGTCAAATCACTGTTCTTATAGTACTACCAATCTGAACATGTTAAACTTGTCCAGGAAATTATTGTTCAGATTAACGGTATAATGTAATTACGTTGGGGTTAATTTGTCCGCTTTTTTTCCAAGTCCACCACTAGTGATTGCATTTCTTCCGTTTACGACATAATTAGTACAGTTTCCACCATCACGTCCAAGTTCAAATTTCATTTCAGAGTTGAGACCATCAAAAACACCACGAAAAGGGGAGAACATTAATTAATATAAAATATTAGCAAGAGTCAATTAATCATTTTACTAGAAGAAAAAAAAAAAAAAAGAGAGTAAATTTATGTAGAGAAGTCGCTAAAATTGACTAAGTCTGGCAGGTTAAAAAGTGGCAACAATAGTCTTGAAATTGACTCAAAAAATAGAGTCTTAACTACTCGGCCGTAAAACTTTTTTCTTGTTTTCATTCTATTACCTTTAAGTCTTTGAGCATTCTAACCATACTACATTACACAGAATTATCACTTTGGACTAGAATATCAAATAATTATTATAATTATTATATATATCAAAACGTGACTACGAAAAAAGGAAAAAAAAAAGAAGAAAAGAACAGAAAGGCCTCGCAAATTAAAAAAAAAATAATGATTAGTGCAAGAAAAAATGACAAGGAATTTATATAGCCATTCATTTTTAAAACTTTCTATTCGGGGTTTAAACATGTAATGTTAGGGAATAATTTTGATGTATGACACATTATTCCTTGTAAATTTTTCTTATATCTATCACTACTTAAAAAAAAAAAAGGAAGTAAAGAAAATGTCAACTTGGAATTCTTTCCCCAACAATAAATGTATATAATGCATAAGTCAAAATAACAAGCTACAAAATCATCATTAGGATAAGAAATTTTGGTAGGGCGCATGTGTTTTGATAACTGAAAATCTTGGAATTTTGGGAAGGGAAGTTGGCCGGAAGGTTGGTTAAGAACTCACTATATATATCATCTGCATCTACAGCGTCTGATGATTCATTGATTACCTCCTGCTGACATCTTATTTCTAGGATTCTAAAATCTTAATAGTAACTTCAGGTCTGCTCAATTTGTGGAGAGAAGTGTGCTTGGTGTGAAAATTGAAACTTTACATGTTGAAAAAGTTTCATTAGGTAGGCGGAAATTACATTATTTTCACGACCAATTTAGATTCGATTTAAATACTCCCCATTTTAACAATTTAACGGAATGAATACATTACAAATTACAATAGTTGAAAATATTTACCTTCCAAATGGAGCACAAGAAGGGCTCGCGCAACATAGGGACCTTAATTTTGCATTTTTTGGTATCTCTAGCAACATCTAATTTGCGCAGTTAAACTCGATTTACCGCCATCAGAAATCAGATCACTACTAGTAAAGTAAGATTATTATAGGTCTCATTGTTGTAACATTGTAATCAAAAAATAAATACTCCCTCTGTCCTAAAATTATTATCATATTTGAGATTTCACTTTTAGTACATTTTGATTAGTTCAAAATAAAAATTCAAACTGTATAATAATTATAGAATAGAGGGAGCAAGTTTTTTTATAACTGATCTCACCTAGTAAGAAAAAAAATTTTATCACAAAGAAAAAAAAAACCCCCGGAAAAACACATAGATGGATCACCTTGATGGCTTGATCACATTAGCCATTTCTCACCATAGTTTCACTCTACAGAACTTGGAAAAGTTCATACGAGTACAAATGAAAGGGCCAAGAGCCCTAACTACACTTACGTTTTGAAGAAGCCCAAATATCCTAGCCAGATCTGAATGTAAACAAAGGCCCAGAAACAGATATAGCCCAAGGCAAGGATATTCATACATTTTTCAAAAACCTCTCTCTCCCTTCCCGGCACCGTCTTCCCTTTCATTTCACTCCTTCCAGTCACTTCTCCGCCTCAAAACTCAGATTCATACTCACTGAGAGAATCAATCAGCCACCGGACCGAAGAACAGAGATGGCCCCACCAAAGACTGTGCGTACGATATCGCAGGAAGCGTTCGACGAGATGGTGAAGGAAAACATAGATGATTTGGGAATGGAACCTGCCGAGGCATTGGAAGACGCCATCCAGACACTTTCGCTCCAAGGTGTTGATCTCTCCGGTATTATCAAATGCGTCCCCGGAGAGAGCTCCGTTGATGAAAACCCGGTCATTCAAACTCTCACCGGGTTGAAGCGGCTGAGCTCCGGCGGTGAGCTCTTAACATCCGACGAAATTGTCGAATTACTGGAACGACTGAGCGAGTTGTGTGGTTCTAAAGGTTCGGGGAATGCTGCCATAGCCGCCAAGAATGGAGGGTTAGAGTTGGTTATCTCGACTTTGCCCAAGCTTCCGAGGAATGGCTCTCATCGGAGCCTAGACTTGGCTCTCAACACATTGGTTTCGTTACTTTATGGTACAGTATTCGATTAGTCAGCTCCATATTTTTTTTCTGGATTTTTTTTTTCTATCTGCCGGTACGCATGAAATTAGAGTGGAAAGTTCCATTTTATGATTGGTTATGTCTGTGGATTATTGAAATTGGGCCCATTTCCTTGCTCAGTTACCTGATTTTGAGATTTTGATCTCATGTATAAGAACTTAACATTAGGTAGCTGTTATACTGTTTGATCATGCTTGTAGTTACTGCTTATTGGATGGGCAAATTGATTTGGCATTGGCAAATAATATTCCTGATTTTTTTTTTTTTCCAATTTACAGATCTTCAAAGCACTGAAATATTTAAGGAGAATGGTGGTCCAAAGATGGTGATGAACATCCTGAATGATGAGAGTCTAGATACTAGCATCTTAAATAGTGGTTTTTCGGTTGTTGCCGCAGCTGCATCTGGAAATGAGGTGCTAAAAGAGTCATTTATGGACTTAAAGGTAGATGAACTCATTATCAAAACTCTAAGGAAACACAATGGGAGGAGCTTGCCCTGTATATATGATGCCATACGAGTTCTGTTAACATCTGATGACAATCGTGTTGTGGCCTCCCAAGTAAGCCTCTTAGGAAGTTTCTACATTCTATATTATGGAATTTCAGTTGCATTGTGGATGCAGAACTTGCTGTGCTCTGGCGATTTTTGAGAATAATCTGCTATCTAATAGGAGCGTTCAATCTTTGTGTGTGGCTTCAGGTTTTTGGTTATGCTCGGAGATTTGCCAAAGTTGGCATTGTAGATTTATTGGTGAGCACACTTCATGAAGGGCTCAGCTCACCATGTGTGGTTTCAGCAAGCATCGCTTTGAGATCTGTTGCTGTGAATGTAAGTTCTTTCCGGTTATTAACTATCCCACCAATTTGATTATATTCTTTCCAGTTGCACACATTTTTGGACTCTTATGTGAAAGCAATTAGACTTTAAGCTAGCGAAATGTAGGATAATGCCATCGAAATTCAAGGTTCTTTAGATTCTACTGAAATTTGCTGCCTGAGGTGATCATTTTTGTTTTACTCCCAATCACGGTTGTATTGGAGCATATGTAATTGAAGATGTTGCAAGGGATGTTAAAACTAGGTAAAATGGTTAATGTGATATTCGTCCTTGCTATATTACACCAGTCTTCAGTGGTAGCTGTATTTCTTATTCATTAACTCAAGGGAGAGTTTGGCAGCAAAAGCATATATGCAGTAGTAGCGATTTCCTTTAGCTCCTAATTTCTTTTCCTTTTGCAGGATGAAATATGCCGATCTGTTGCTGACAATGATGGTATAGATGCAATTCTTAGTTGCATTGATGATTCTGGGGAACAGGGAAATAAAACTGTGGCTAAAGCTTGCTGCTCCTTGCTATCTAAGGTTTCAAACTGAACGAATTACATAGTATTTAGCTTTTTGTAGTTGCTTGCATTCTTCATTCTTGCCCCTTCTTTGCTCTTTTGTTGACACATCGCATATTATCAAGTAAATTTGCAAAGCTTTAGTTATTAAATTTTCTCCGTATCTCCTCCTCACTCGTTAATGTGGGTTTAACATCATTGAAATTTTTGTCTTGGATCATCTGTAAGTCTCCTGAAAACTTTAGTCTTAATATCGTGCATTGAGTTTATTTATGAATATACCAAACTTAGTCGATGGTACATTTTTGCATCTTGAAAGCTTGAAGCATTTCTAATTGCGACAACTTGGTTAGTTGGCAGGAAGTGATGTAAATAAGGGTGTTATCATTGAGAAGAGAGGTGTCCCTAGACTCATAAAACTTGCAGCCCGATTTTCTGAAGATCCTTCAGTAGTTCAGGAGGTAATTTAGTTGGGAAATGTATTATGCCTTGGTTACGAACATCAATCTGGGGGTAAAACTCTGATGTTCACAAGTACGTAAGAGATCTTCTATATGTACTTTCAGTGATATTGGTTACTGCCGTGCAGGTTATGTCACTTATATCTGTGCTGTGTTTGAGGTCCCCGGATAATGCATCCCATGCAGTTGAAGCTGGAGCTGGAGACCTCGCCATGCAAGCCATGCAGAGATATCCTGAATCTGATCAACTTCAGCGGAATGCCTGTCTAATGATCCGGAATCTTGTAGTCAGGAATGCTGAGAACAGGTAACACTCATGACCCAATTTCCTATGATGTTCCCCCTTCTTCTATTATATATTTTTGGCTGTGATTCCTTGGACAACATATCATCAATGCTATAATTTGTTGTCCAGGACCATCTTACTCGGCCATGGTATTGAGAAGCTCATTAGGAAGGCCAAAGCTAGTCACAAGGTTTGCAAAGATGCAGCCACCGATGCGCTCAGGGATCTTGGCCTTGACAACTACAACTCATAAGTTCTAGAGAAAATTTAATTTAGCTGTGTCCCGGAATTGTTATTTTATAACAGTCGAATTGGATTACGCACTATACCAAAAGTGATGAAGCTCTTTTTTTGCTTGGGGTTATTTTGTGGTGAAGTATGTCAGACCTGAGGTTGCTCTAGGAGGAGAGTTGATATGTTTTTAGCCAATGGCAAGGTGAGCGGGAACATACTCCTTTCAAGTATATCATTGTGTATGTATGATGCGCTTGAATGTCATCACGGGTCAATTTCATCACTGTCCTATATATAGATGCTAACCTAGTCAAATTCTTTTGATTTTCGAGCTTTTGATTTTATTATCGCTCAGTGACAACAATTTGGAGTAGTTATTTGCCACTGCTGAAAATTTTCATGTTGGCATTTGGCAAACAGCTCCTGCATCATTGTATAATTTGTATGAGCCACTTAAAGAAAATTAAACATGGTCATTACAATTTCAATTGGCAGAGAGGGGAAAAAGAAAAAATTACTTCCGAATCTTTGAAAGTCCAATAGAAATAGTAGGGAATAAACTGTAGTTACTAACGCATTATTCAAGTCCCCTCAGTTGGGCTTGCCATGAAAGGTCAAAAGCCGCACTGATTAAAAATCAAGAAAATCGAAACAAAATTGTTCTGGCATACAATTTGTACAACTCTAGTCTACAACAACAGGAATCACGGTCTTGCAAAGCTCCTTCCACACCTGTTGAGGAACAACAAATGTCAATTCCATAGGGGGAAGAACTATGTCAACATAAAAGAATCATGTGGTATGACATTTTGCTTGAAAACTTTCTTTAACAATCCTCAGATGTTAAGGGGTGAGAACACTGCAAAAGATTTATCAGTAAGCATTTATAATCAACTTTTCTTCTTTTTCTCGGATTAATAGCTCTTTACCCCAAGAAAAATAGCACAAAGAACCAACAATTCACATACCTGGTAACAGGTCTGTCAATTGGAGCCGCCAAAAGAAGATCAGAAATATTACAACAGTTTCCTTGTCAAGGAATGAACCCTGGAATGTAGAGGAGCATTCTCAACATCATGCTAAGAAAAGTTAAATAGCATAGAAGAACCCTAGTCAAAGAATGAATAATACCAGACTTTATTGGAACATTTTGGCGTATGCTTTTCTCTCCTGATCACGTCTATCAGCAATCTGTTTGCAAATAAGAATAGACAAGGAAGAGAAAAGAAAAGAAGTGTCATCAGCAATCTGCAATGGCTTCGCCTAATGCCATTTAAAGAAGCATATTATATACTGTAGATAACAAAGAGTCCACCATTTAAAAATTCCCAATTACCTTCTTTTTTGCTGCAAGAAGCTCCTTCTTTATTCCTCCTGGAAATATACCAAAAAAATTATCTTGTTAGTGTTTCACAAATCACAGCTATGCGCAGAAGTTAACAGCTTCTTATACAAACAACTTAAGAGGGGCCATTCCATTGGTTTAAAGCAATTTGTTAGATCTTTTGGTAAATCTCATCCATAAGACCAAAAAGCAAATGTCAGCTTATGCCCTCTAATCTTGTTTAATAGTACACTACAAGTCTAGAAAACCAGGGGAGAATGTAAACAGAACAAACTAATCAGAAAATAAAACTGACCATCATTTGGTTCCAAATCCAGAGCTTTTTTAAAACTCTCAACTGCTGCATCGACATCATTGAGAGCCATGTGTGCCTGATTTATAAGAGATTAGAAATCAAAGAATACTAGAATAAAATACGTGGTTCACATGCTGAATTGTTAAACCAAACAAGGGCTTCTAAAATCTGATTTGGTCAACCACATGCATTAGGGGCTATTTCGTGAAAATGAAACAAGAGGCACAACTAGCATCAGCATATGCAGAGGCACAACAAGAGGCTATTGGCCACATCACATTTCTCCTACTCAACTTCCCATTACAAGGGAATAGCGACCAATATCTTCCCTACTTTTTCCTGAATAAAAAGTTCTGTAAAAATTAAAATTACCAAACGACTACGATCAAAATTCTATTTATGCAACACAATAGCCATGTACCAATAGAAAGCAGTTTCACATAGAGCAATAGTTTTATAAAGCATATATTACAGAGATGAATAATCAAATTCACCTGACCCTGGCGAAACAAAGCTTTAGCATTGTTCTCCCCATCACGCATTGCAAAATCAGCATCCAAAAGGGCCCCTTTTGAATCTCCAATTTTGAGTTTACAAGCCTATAAGCATAAATAAAAAGCTTTAACTACAGGCTTTGGCATTGTTCTACTTGACACCAAAACAAAAGAAGTTGACAAATCTTCAGATAGAAAAGATACATTCAAAAGTTCATGCATATTGCAAGTACTATAGTGGTTGCAAAGTGGAAATCTACTGGGAATGAGGGAGGAAGCATTATTACATAAAAAGGCACAAAAAGCATAAACCTCAGACTTGTTTACAGTCAGAAAATCTGATCCATGATCAGCGACTGAGACATGCATGAGATTAATAATGGCGCCTCATATGTAATTTGTTTAGTTTCACAGAACATCATCAGGCACAAGCTACAGATCAAACCAACACAAAAACTGTGTGCGCAGCAATACAAGAGCAATGGTACCAACTTACCGAGCTGTTAGTGAATATTTGAGACTTCAACTTCCTCAAATGCACACTCTTGGCTGTGTGGGCCAACAATGTGAAAATGAATAAAATTAGTATGAATTCGAAAGTATTAAATCTTTGAATACATCAATATCTCGTGACATAGACAGGCAGTAAATTTTGAACATCTTTGGAAGGAAACTTATCGACCCACCTTCATCAATTCCATCCTTCTCCCAGCAGATATCCAAATAGCGCAAAGCTTTCCGATACTTCCTAAGAGCCATTTTGTAATTTTGTTTCTATAGAAATGAATAAAGAAATTAATCAGAAACATCAAACCACGAGCATAAAAAAAATAAAATTAATAATAATATAAGGGAAAGAAGAAGATAAAAAATTAATCAAGCAGTCACTAATGTTGCAAACGTATAATACCTTAAAGTGATCATTTCCATATGCCTTGATAGAATCTACGGCAGTCATCCACCAAGAAAGCTCAGCAGGACTGTTGTCAAGATCAGCAGGCCAATCAGCATAGATATCTCCATCTTTAAAGAAGTCAACAATTCCATCATCTGCTCCCTTGGGGATTTCACCACAATCCGAAATAATGACATCAGCAGTAGGGCGATCATTTTCACCAGTTGTGACATGCTCCACGGAACGAACAACTCCCATGCCTTTGACTACCTTCCCAAAAACAACATGTTTGCCATCCAGATGAGAAGTCCGAGTAGTGGTGATAAAAAATTGGGAGCCATTTGTGTTGGGTCCAGCATTGGCCATTGATAACATTCCTTTTCTTTCATGTTTCAACTCAAAGTTCTCATCTTCAAATTTCAGTCCATAGATTGATTCACCTCCAGTACCATCGCCAGCAGAAATATCTCCACCTTGTATCATGAAGCTTTTGATAACACGGTGAAATTTGCTTCCCTGAGATGAACCATATGCGCACGCACGAGAAAATACATAAGATGAAAAAGATAAAAAGCACTCCTAAAAACATTGAAGGAGGAAATGCATCATGTGTTCATCAGCAATTTGACAATTGGACATAAACATCCCCCCGAAACAAAAACATTGGAACTGACTCATTGATATCGATGACTTAAAGATTGACTAAAGGATCATCCAAATAAAATTAGTCAACACTAGCTTAGTTCTCCTCACATTTTTGTACGTCAATGAAGCAGGGGAGTACCAATTATATGCTTATGTACCAGAACAAATAATCACATTCGGAGCGGAACAACTCATAAGAACTAGACATTCGCCAATTAACTAGAGGCAATCACTTTGACTAGAATTTAATCCAGTGTCAGCACCGAATCAATTCGCCAGGAAGATAGAAATCAAACAAACGGCACCATCACTCGCTTAAAATCGCGAAGAACAAACTATATCTTTTGTAATTAATTACAACTAATCAATCGAATTAGACGAATCAAGAAGAGAGTGAGCTGTTAAACTGAGCACAAGAAAGAATGTACATACCTTGTAATGGAGAGGAACGCCGGTGTGAGGCCCAAGGCCTTTCTCGCCGGTGCAGAGAGCTCTGAAGTTTTCAGCAGTTTTAGGGACAACGTCGTTAAACAGTTCCACCACGATCCTGCCTTCAAGCTCTCCGCCGATGGTAATGTCCAGATAGCACCGCGGCCTCTCCATCTCGCCGGCGTATTGAAAAAATTCAGGCAAAAACTAAGACGTCGGCGACTGATTGGACGAAAGAGGAATAACAAAACCGGCGGATAAAAATAAAAAACCCTAGCAAAGTTGTGAGCCGCGTTAATGTCCCGCTTTTTATATATTTCGAACACTTCGGAGCTCTTCCGTCTTCATTCAAACCTTCTGTGAGCACAAACTATAAACTGTTGAGAGCGTAGTTTAGCGTCGGCCTATCTCTTTAGCTAATTTGCGCCGGGTGCAAAATGACATCATTAAGCATTATTACCACGAAAATGATGTAATGTAATGATATATGCATTAAAATATTACCTTTTCCGCTTATTTGATTTTTTTTTTTATTAGCAACTCGAACTTAAATATCGAGATTGTACATGATAAAAATGTGTGGATTGAAATCACCATGCGAGTGTGATTAATTTATGGTCAATTAATTTTGAATTAAATATTTATCCTCATATTCATCATATAAAGACATGCTTACTAATTAAGTGATAGGCGTATGATAGTAACCCAAAATAATTGTAAGTAATGAATTGTTTAAGAAAAAGAAACATCAAGGCATTGCACCAATGAAGAACATTCTGGAAAAACAGATAAGAAAATGACGATTCCCTTTATCCTGATACTACCATATTGTTATGATTATTAATTACTATTACCAGACATGGTCAGGAAAGTCAGTCTCATTGTTGTACCAAATCATCTGGAATTTTTGGCCGAAAAGAAGGAAAAAAATACAAAATTGGGGATAAAGAAAAAGCAAATGGTGCGCCTGCACTTTGGAATCTGCCAAAATTAATTCAGTACGTATGATACGATGGTGACCTTTTCACTCGTCTTCCATCCCCATACAAAACAAACAAATAGCCCTTGATAACACATATGAGACCAAATTATTTTTCCAAGAGTTTTAAACTTTAAATATAACACAATTTTTGTTTGTATTTTATTTTCCCCTCAATAACCTTACATATTACAGAAAATCGTACTCATATAAAATCATTTTGGATCAGTTTTGTACCAATTAGTGGTAATTAAAAGTAAATTTTTTTTTTTCTCCTTCTTGCGGGAATAACTAATTACAAACGAGTCAGATACTGGTTGGCGTTAGTGTGGTATCGTTTTCGGTTTGTTCCATAGCGGGCGCGTGGACGACATTAATGTGGTCAATACTGAATAGAGCTCGAACAATATTCATGGTCCAATGTCTTTACTGTCTGGATGTAGTACTTTGCTAAGCACTAGACCTTGGAGAAGACGACCATTTTTTCTGCGTGGCTTCGACGATGCGTGTGATCTGGCTCCAAAGACTATCCAATCATTTTTTAATTCGTGTTTTTTCATTTTGAAAAATGCCTTTATTAAAATAAAAAATAAAAGATTGATGCAATCAAAATTTTGATGAGACACTTCGTCTTTTGAGCTTAGTAGTAGTACCCAGTGACGGAGATTGGAACAGTATAATCATAGTACTATATTTCTGACATGTAATAATTTAGAGTTTGTTTGGTCACTCTTTCATTTTGCATTTTGTCTCATTTTACCTCTTAAATACAAAATCCAATGGAAAAGAAAATATCATCCAAACAACGGCCTGATTTACATTTTCAATTCCAACTTGAAACATTTTTTTTTAGCGTAATGACCATTTTAGAACTACAAATAGTTCAGTGACAAATTTGGCAGGATTCCGTTCTTGAGTGATTGTTTTTGGAAAAATCTTTTTTACAGTGACTATAATTGAAAGTATTTAATTGTTTAGTGATGACTCGTACTTCATTTTTTCAAAATGCAGTTCAAAATATTTTTTTGAAAACCAACATCCAAATAACTTTTTGCTCAAAATATCATCCAAACAATATTTTTATTTCCCATTTAGTTTTCAACTTGAAACACTTTCCACTTTTAAGTAGCAAAATGAAATGTAAGCTGACGTCCAAACAAGCACTTAGGGCCCGTTTGATAAAATTTAATTTGGGTCTGAAGTCTGAAATCTGAAGACTGAATCATAAGTACTGAATTGATTAAGTTTGTCGTGTTTGATAAAAACCAAAATCTAAACACTGAATAAAATGGCTGAAACCTGAAGTCTGAACACTGAAATTTAAAGTATCTCGACTTATAATTTTATCTAAAAAAATAATTGATGTATATGAAACTATGATAACAAAAATAATAATGTTATTATTAAATAATGTAATAAAACTATTTAAATTTTATTATGTTATTATTTTTTCAATTAATAATAATGTCATATTTTATCATATCAAAAAAAAAATCATATTTTATGGTAAAGATATATTGATCATGGAATTTAATGGATTTTAATTTTATATAAAAATAAATATTTATTAAATAAAAAATAATTTAAATAAATTTTAATTTAGAACTAGACATCATGATTAATAAAGATATTTCAAGATAAAATATCAAAAGTATAAACATAAAATAAATAAATAGAAAAAAAATCGTCTCAAGAATTCAGTTCAGACATAAGTGATAGGCCCATCACTTATTTTTAGGTTCACATTTGTACTAGCATTTCAGACCCACTTAATAAATTAAGATATCTTACTTTGAATTATCAAACACACTTAAAATTTAAGTCATTAATTATTAAGTTCTTAAGCAATTAAGTTGTTATGATAGTGTGTTATCAAATAATGCTAATCAATTAATTACTTAATTAATAAGTTTTAAGTGCTTAATTGGTTTATCAAACAGGGCCTTAATAATTCCAAACATAAACAGTACCCTAGTGACAAAATACATTAATCTAAAGAAATAATTACTCTCATTCAACAAATCATACTTGTTGAACTAATAACAATAAAAAAAATGATTCTTTTGTTAGGACGGAAAAATCTTTGTGTGATTACGCGATAGAACTTTGGTGGGGTTTTTCTGAGTAGCTAAAATTAGTTCATTTATGATGATTCGATCCTGGAAGCAAAGGTATGTTTGTTTCGTTTTTTTAGTGTGTGTTTTTAGATGTTTTTTATATTGAGAATGTAAAAAAGTGTATTGAAAATGTAAAAAAGTTATAATAGAATAGGACAGTTATTATTTTATTAATCGAAAAAAAACCATAAAAAAACTAAACAAACAAAGCCATAGTTAACCCATGTCTTGTGAACGTGGAATTGTGTACGTATAACAGGGTTTCGCTCAAGTGAGCGTGCACCATCTATCGACTTAGCAGAAGTTGCTTCTTTTATAGTATATGTAACTACTACCATCACAGTATAAATATTTGAGGAGGAATTCCAATTTGTTTAGTGACCAATAATACCCCTTAACATTTACTTCCTTTCCTTCCGAATTGAAGGTCCAGTTTGTATTTTCATTTTAGTTTAAATTGTGTTAATAAAAGTAAAATTCTAGAATTGAAGGTCCAATTTGTATTTTCATTTTAGTTTAATTATGTTAATAAAAGTGAAATTCTAGACTGAAAAATAATTTTTGGATGTTAAGAATACAAACCAATAGTTTTTTAAAGACCAAAAAAGGGGACGTGGTGGGTTTTATGAAGTGTGCCAGTAACATGAATCATTTGGGCTTATATTCAGTGGGCCCGCTTCCTTGCCAAAAGGAGAACAATATTAGAAAAGAGAGGATCTCTAATCCCTTGATGCGCTACAAACTGATATACTAGCTTGCTTGAGACTGGAGAGGTCTCCAGTAAGCAAAGAAGAAAGAACCTAAGAATTGATTAATCCAAAAGGATTGCATACATCTAGTAGACATCTTTTATCGAAGATATAATGTTCCTGGTCACCTCGTCGATCTTCTCCAGGAATACAAGGAATTGGTGGTAGAAATAAAAGCAGTAAATTGGTTCACAGTTGATTGAGTTTTAGTCGAAAATAAAAAAAATTAAAAAAAAAAATTAGTAAAGGTTTCCCTTAGAGATCTAGAACTAATGCTTGTTTTCCCAACAATAACAAACAAAACAGAAAGTTGAATTAAAGAAAGAGTGCATTATTGTGACCGAATGATTCGATAAATGGTACAAGTCAAGTCACTGAATCGCAAATTTTTATTGATACAATATAACTTTTAGTTAATTGGTTGAAATGTTCAGTTGACAAAACTAAGTACTACATTTTCTCACAACTTATACGTATCAGGATTGTGGTTGATTATATCTCCGTTTGTTACAATATATATGCTTCAATTTCAATTTGAAACCATATCTATAACCAAAGAGGAATGGAAAATTATAGGTTGAATGGAACGAAATGAGGTCATCAGAGTGATTCAGCATCATTCATTAATTTTCACAGAACGTACGTGCGGTGCAGGACTATAAAATATATGTAGGGGTATCTTTCTAGCTTACACTTCTACTGCCTCTCTCGACAGTCTGCCGCCCTAAAACTAAAAATTGCTGAATCTAGTATCTTTATTTTCCCCAAACACAACAAACTTTATGGACGCAGTGCAGCTATAGCTATTCTTAGCTGAGCTACATCCATTTTCATTTCATTGCAGTAGCACCAATTGTACGTAATTTAGGTGAAGTCCTTTTTCTTTTGTGATTGAGATTTTAGTCTTTAGAGACAATTTCACAAACCAACAAACCAACTCTACTAAACTCAAACAGCTGCAAATTTGATTGATTGATTGATTCAAAATCATAATGAACACCCACACACACACACACACACTAGAATTCCAAAAGTTTGCTGCTGAAAGCCTGAAGCTCTAAGTAGGGGGTTCGTATGAACAGAGTCGAGCTAGTTTCTGTCTACTTTGTTGGTTCGTACTACCACTACTATTTTACTATGGAATGGAATGTGAAATATGTCCCGTGGGAATAATTACGAATCCCGTAACTCTATGGATCCGACGGACTGGAATTCTTTTTTAGAATTATTTAAAAACATAAATAAATTTAGAAATATAAAGTTTTGGGGTACAAAAAATTAACAATAGTACGATTAACTGTAGTAGTACTAAAAAATTAACAAATGCAGCAGTAAGTAGTACTGTAAGTAGTACGATTTGCAATTGCAGTTTGGAGATTGGACCCCGACAAAAGCTGATTGCGTCCACATGGTTTAAGCTTCATCTGCACCAATACCATTCTTTACCCTCCCAATTCCTCCTACGATCTCCCTTGTCCTCACCACGTGACACCACCAGCTTTTTCTTTTTATTTTGTTTTTGCCCATTAATACGGTGAAAATTACATCAAGAGTGGATAACAATTATAAAATATATTGAAAATGTTTTTGAAATAACTGAATTTATAAAATTATAATAATAAGATGCAAATGTTTCAAGTTACTCGTTATTAAACTCAGCGTCTGAAAAAAAAAAAAAAAACTCTCAGCGTCTTTCTCTAATCTGGATGATTTCAGACCAGTTCCATGCAGTAATACTCAAACTCAAGAACTTGCACTTTAAGGAAATTATTCTTGCTATAATAAGAATTAGTGTATTGATTAACTTTTTGGGTGAAAATTACCCATCTTATTCAGGTAAGGAAAAATGAGTTGGATGCATTTTAAAAGGTGTTACTGTGTTACTCATAAAACAAAATAAAAATCAAAACGCTCTGGAATTCCTTGAAAGCTTTTTTTTTTTTTTTTTGAGGGGAAAGCAAATTTTAGTAAAATCACTGGAAATGGTCCAATATCATTTGATACAATAACAAACTGTTCCAAATGACGCACTCAAATCGTCCTAATGACGTACTTACGGTACTAGTCACTGCACCAATGACTAAACCAATACAACTGCCAAAAGAGTTATCAATCATATAATGGTATAATTCTATTGTTGAACATATCACAAAACAGAATAAAATTCTGAACTCGAATATATCACTTATCAGCAGATTTAGGCATAAATTTATCGTCATTAACGACGAACAACACACACCAAATTTGGATTCGACCAACGGACTCGGTTCTGTTGACACACTAAATTCGCTCAGTAAAGAATCAATCCGAGATGTATAATGAGGGTGAACTTTCCCACTTAATTGAATTAAAATACAACAATAAAAAAAAAACTAAATTTGGTCTGCCAGTGAACAGTAAGATATCACCTTTGGCGGCCGAAATCCGACGGATCTAATAAAGAGCATATTCAAACAGCAACAGCAATCCATGGACGACGACATGAAAACAGTTCCAAGTCCGGCCAGATCCAATTCCGGCGCACATCATTGTTCGCCAAATCTGTGAGGCCGGTTCTGTGAAGAAGTATCTATAAGCCGAGATCTTGCCGGATCTATGAGGCCGAATTTGTGAGGGAGGACCTGCAAGCCGCGCTTGGGGAGAGTCCCCTACCACTTTAAATTTTAATCATATTAAAGAAAAAAAAAGAAGAGAATTCCTTGAAAGATTAAGTTGTTGTTACTTGTCTCGTTCCCAATAAGGGAACACTCATCCTCTACTCACTCGAAGAGCAATCGATTAAAAAAAAAAACTAGAGCAATTTTACGGTCGATTGTAATATCTCCAAATTAGATTCTACTTATCTAATTATTCCAATCTCTTTAATTTTTATACAACCAAAAAAGAAGGAAAGACTATTACTACATTGCATCGTAGGAAAAGAAAAACACTTTGTCCAATAACAAATATAACAAATACTATCTAAAGTTGGAACCTGCAAAATCAATAATGACAATTTACAGGTAAACATTTAAAAAATTGACAGAATTTAGAATCAGACCATACTGAATCATAAAGCTCGATGAATGCTATTTGCTCGAGTTTCTCACTTCAAAAACATAAAATATCAAAAATCTACTTTTTGTTTCTAATTGACCCGATGGAGATTGTAATACATTTTTTTTAAAGTTAGAACTTAAAAGTAAAAAAAAAATCTGTGCAGAGATTTCCCCTTTTCTGTAATATAAAATCACTAATTTTTTTGTATTTAAAATAGTAGAGGCTAGATTAAAGTGGTCACTCCACTTCCTTCGAAAAAGAGAAAAAGAAAATGCAATAATTCGCCGGATATTTGACTTTATATCTTTGAATTATTATTATCTGATCAACACACCACAGCCCATCCATCAATTCCCTCCCACTTTAGAATTTCTTGGCAAAATGCATTCCTTTTTGTTTGCATAAAAAGCATACTTTCGAAAGCAATATTCATGTTGCAAAGCTTGCCACACCCCATTGGACCAAGCTTGACTCTTGAAAAGAAAAAAAATGCTAAAGATGACAAAATGTGAATGCTACATATCATACTCTTTTTGTTCCAAAATTATTATACAGTTTGACATTTCACTTTTAGTACAATTTAAGCTAGAAAAGAAAACCAAAATGGACAATAATTATGAAACGGAGAGAGTATAATATATCATTTTCTTTTATAATATTGTAATTACGATCAAATAAACTTCTCTTTACATGTTTCTAAAGTTGGTAACACATTAAAAACTCTACTTTAATGGAAATCCTTCATTCTAGTCCTATACTATTTCATAATTTAAAAATTGGACCATCAAGAGCACAATGTGCAGGTTATTTAGGCATAAATGTGCAGGTGATTGATGAAAAAATAAATTGCCTCCATCAAGAAAATATTTTTGTAATTCGATCTCCTAAACATCATCAATCATCATCAAATAGGGGGAAATTAAAAATCACCTAAAATAAGGTATCAAAAAAAAAGTAAAATGTTAAAATTAACCACCAATAAAACGAAATCAAGGCCCTTCATCTTTTCTTCTTTCAAGTGGATGTATTGGACGATTATGATTAGTAGTAATATGATGCCGTTGAGCATGATTAGGTGATAATGTCTCTGTTTCCTCCTCAATCGTTTCTTGATCATCATCGGGTCTTTCCTCCACCACCCTCGCCACTCCCGGCGCCGCCTCCTCCAACGGCGGTGGAGGTGGGCCGGCGGCTTCACCCGGCCGGCTGCTGTTACTGTGCTCGACCACAATCCGGCGGGGAGCCGGCGAATCGATCCGGCCATCCACACAAGACGAGCATTTGGTTTCCACCCAGCTTTCCAAGTCATAGCGTGGCCCGCGACCGAAAATTCCCCGACCTGAACAAATTCTGCCGATCATAACCGCAGCCGCACCCAGAATGGTTATCACCGCAAGGACTCCTATCACGGGTCCGGCCGACCCGTGACCCGTGTTCGCCGAATATGCTTGTTGGGTCGCCATTGCCATGGGTGGCGGTTGCTGTTGGGTCGCAGACGGGTCTAATGACGGTGGCGCCGGTGCTTCCATTGGCAAATTATTTAAAAACCCCCCAAACCAAAGAGACAAAAATATGATAATAACCTCTCCAGCTGGCTAGCTTCTGAATCAATTTTGGAGCTTTTTGAAAGATGGGATTGGGACCATTTTAAACTCCACCAAAAAAAAAAAAAAAAACCCTTGAAACAGAGTTAATGGAGCCAGCAATAAAGAGGAAACCAATTATTCGACGTGTTGGAATTTTTTTTGCTCTTGGTAGAGAAACTGCAAAAGAGAAACAGAGCTTTCAAGAAGGTCGAATTTGTATGTAGAAAGGGTTCTTCCTGGCTAATTATTTAGGTGAGGGAAAATTTTTGCCTAGTGGGTTTGATTGGTAGATTGGTAATTCAACGATGCAAATATGTAAAAAAGGGACCTTTTCTGGTACAATGAAAAACTGTGCAAGAAGGGAAAAAAAAAAAAAAAGCTTGCTTTTTGACAAGATGACGATGGATATAGTGGAAATTGACAACGCATTCTGGGTGAAACGGGGATGAAAGAGAATAGATGGACTTGACTTATACGTCGATTAATGAGTACTACTACTTGACTGGTATCAGAAAAGAGAGTGATTGATTTGATGAAATGAGAAATTTGCAGGTAGTATAAAATTTTTACATACGTATTATGCAGATGGGAAGTAGTATATTTGATTCCCTTCTTTCTGTCTGTTTTCTCTGCAATAACAATAAGTGCGTATGACCGTAACTTCTTTCAGGGATTCAGGTTCTTTAAAAACTGTGAAGTTCTTCCTTCGGGACCACTGTCCACAGAGAGAGTGAGAAGGAGCGCGGTTTACAGTTTACTGCTATATCCTTTTTCGAGTTCCGGATTTCCCATGGCAAATTTTGGAGCTCATCACACGTTAAAGGTCCATAGTTGGTTGTGTAACCCTGTACCTGTACGTTCGTTAAATATTAGTCGAACTAAAACAATACAATAAGTATAGATAGAATAGTAAATTGTTAAGCAGTGAAGCACTGGAATTTCCAATGAATGAATGTTGCTTGGTTAGTAGTATTAGAATGATTATAAGCCAAGATAGTGATGAATTTTATAATGGAAATCTAACTGTTGAAAGTTGAAACAAACACAAAATTAGTGTAGTTAATCTTGTTGGTGGTTTCTTTTAGCCGCCGAGATTTGTTTTTTAAATAAATGGTCAAAAAAAGTTGCAGCAATCAGTTAATCAGAAATGTAATTTTGAAACTTTTAGGCCAAAAGGCTGTTCTACTTTGCATACTTTCCACCTTGCTTTAATAGTGAGGATTTCAATAATGTTTTCTGATTACTACTACTTCAAGTTTATCCTCTTTCCGATTTGCAACTTTCTAAAGCTGCTTGTCTTTTCCTTTTTTTTTTTTTTCTCTATCAACAAAAAATAGAGACAAAATTTCAACACAAATCTGCATCATTCACATAAATAATACTTAAAACCCCCCTGCATCACTCCTCCCTGCTTCAGATGAATTAAAATACAAAAATAAAGCCTCATTAGTGTACTGTACGATGGAATATGTGTTAAGGTTGAAAGCTGCTTGTTGGCTCGATATGATTAATACTAATACATATACATTTGACCATCCCCTCTGGGTTTTTTTTTTCTTTTTTTTGAGTATATGAAAATGAAACGACGGTGAACCTGGTGCCATTGCCATTTGCCATTGGAACAGTTTCCGAGGTCGAGCAATGGCGTAGATGCTTTTACTTTGTATTACTGCAAAATAGACACCACACGAGAACATCGTATAACAAGGACAAAGGAACTTATTCTGGAAATTTGAATAAGTACAAAGGTTTAATCCAGTTAAAACTCAAAACAAGGGGACTCAGTGTAGTGGGGTCTTGGTCTATTTTCATCATTTCCCACTCCATTTTGGCTTGCTATTTCAAGTTCTTACATTTTCCTCTCTCGTTTCAGTTGGGAGCTTTGTCTGCATTTCAATGGATTTTTATGCATTCCCATATATACTCTGCACACCTCCACCAATCCTCGAACCCCATGTCCCTTGTTAAAAGTGAGTTTTTAATCAAATAATTGAAAAGTTGGACGTTAGACCACATTTCTCCGAAGAGCAATGATACACTCACCGAAGAAGTCCTAATGAACTTTCAAATGTGGCATGTTGACCTGGCTGTCCATACTTATCAATTTTTTTTTACCCCTAAATAAGAAATAAACATTAAAACTAAATAAAGATAAAAGAATAGAAATTAAGTAAGGTACTTTGAGTTTTTGTCTTTTTTCCTCTCGTATGCAGTTCTCTCCGGTCTCTCCATTGATTTGAAGGTTAATTGTATATCATTTCTTAGGTTCCATTTGAAATAAATCAGACTTGGCGTTTTGTGTGGAGTTGGGCGTCAACTATGAGTGAAAGAACTGGTAATGGATAGAGATGTGCATGTGTGTCATATTTGGTTGTGAGATTTTTGGAACGAAGGTGTTGGGTTCCATGCATATATCGAAGTAATATAAAGGCACGGTTTACCAGGTCAGCGTCAGTTTGTGTACCGTTCCCGATCGGACAACGACGCGTGGCAAGCTACACCCAATGAACTCCTTCACAGCTGTCATTGTCGCCTGCTTCTCCCGAATTTGTGTTTCTCCTTCGTCTTCTCTATCATTTTCTTTACAACTATGGTTCTGGATTGAGCGAAACGGCGGATTTGCGAAGTTCTTTACTCTTCGCGGTGGATCTTCTCTGCCTTTATCTTTCAATCTAATTTGTCAGTATCAATAGTCAATCGCTCAACCTTCTTTAATTCTTTTTCCTCAATTTTGTCGTCTGAATTTTTAATCTGAATATTTTTGAAGATCTTTGCATCCGCATCCCAGTACCAGAGAAGAAAGAAGTTTGGTCTTGGTAGCGAGGGTGGAGACAATGGTCTTAGGCTGTTGAGAAGGGAACGGATTGCGTACAGGAGGTGGGTTGGAAAAACTGTCGGGACTGACCATTTCCCTTTTAAAGCTGAGATACTAAAATGGCGTCACCAGGAGCATGTAACCAGTGCGTAGGAGACAGAAATTCTGAAGGAAATTTGCTCGATAGGATCTTTACTTATTTTGGAAATCGGGGATATCTTGCATGATAGGATCTTGACTTATCTTACAAATCAAACACATCCCTTATCCACATATAATTAGTTTCTGATGCCAAAGGCTCCCTGTTTCATGAGGGATGTCCTTACACTAACTTCGGTTTTGATCTTTTGACCAACTAATCACAAAGCCATAAAAATCTTACTATTGTATATCGTGTTAAAAGGCGCGGCTACAAGTAGCATTAAATTGGATTGGTTGAGATTTGAGAATCTAATGTTGTTGCCCACAAATTCATCTCATTTAGCGTTTACCCAAGCCATGCTTTTGGAGAATGAGAAATGGTAATGTCAGTGTGGGTACGAATCGTTAACTTCCTGTAATAACAACCACACTATCGCCATTCGCCACTAATGTGGTCGCATTATGATGAGTACTATGTAAAGAGTGAGAGACTTGGCATTAACAAGATGCTGGCTAGTATGAAGCTGATGGAAGATATTGTGTCCCATCCTTCATTTGCCAATAAAGTTTTCCTTGTACCACTTAAACAAATTTGATCCGCTGGAGGAAAAACTCATAAGGGCTTCTCTCTCTGAGCGTGAATGGTTTGCGGATTTCAAATCTGTTATGAGATCATGTCCCAAAAAGACTGAGATAGTGCAATGTGCCTATCAGTACATTTCTACAAAGTTTTAAGAGGATGTTTGGTTCTTTAACACTCAATAGAAAGCTGAATGTTTTTTGCAGTTACTGGACTGACATTGTAGATGGAGCTCTAAGATACAGCAGGAAAATCCTGAAATGGGAAGAAGAAAGACAATGTTCCCATTATCGACTTATTCATTATCCGTCTATTTCAATTCACAGAATTAGCAGTGTTTTAACTCAGCCCAATGTGGCTACTAAAACTTTCTTGATAATCCGCTTACTCAAAGTTGAAACAAAGGCAAACTAGCTGTCCATCATCATCAAGCTGTTCATAATCAAGCTGGACCAAAACATTTCAAATAACAACTGAAGCTTCCTCAACTACTAACTAGGGTACCAATACAACTATCCAAGGAAAAGAAATTAAACAGCAGTTATAATTTCATCATGATGGGAAATCTCTTGTACAATGAAGCCAATATATATACAATACTGTTATCTGATTTAGAAGATTTATCAACAGGGCGCAAAACGATCCATGAGCAAACAAATTGTTGCCTCGGACAAGGTGGTCTCTTGATCCGCGGCCTTGGCACTCGACGCCTGCGACTTAAAAGAAGAAGAAGAAGCGGAGGAGGGTTGGTTTCTAGTACTAATTACTTTGCTGGACTGAATTTGTTCTTCTTGTTGTTCCTCCTCCTCAGCAACTTCTGCTTTCTGGAATCTTGAAAAAAGTAGTTTCCTAGGACGAACAACCTTCTCTTTCAGCTTAACTAGCTCTCCAACACACAAGTCCACAACGGTTGCTGCCATTTCTGGGTTCTTTTTGTTGATTTCTTAGCTCCCCTGTTTCTGGGAATTTTTATACTAAAGGCACAAACTTCTCGTTTGAGTTTTCAGACTCTGATGTGAATAAAGAAGGAAGAATAAGAGGGAGTGAATGAAATGAAGTTGGGTTTTTTTTTTTTTTTTATACACAAATTCATGATTGAAGTTCAATTATTTATGTGTGAGAAAAGAGAAGTCGAAAAAAGAATCGAGTGGCGTATGAAGAAACTGTGTGCAGAGAAGACCGTAAAACGGCCGGCCCACGGATGTGGGAATAGTATTTAGAATATCTTTTCTTTTTGGGCACGGATATTCCTACTTTCTTGAATGCTAATTTGTCCATCACTTCTTCGCTCTTTTATTATTTGTGTAGGGGTAATTTTGTTGTGCCTTTTACAGAATGCATCATTTTGCCCCTATTTTATTGGCACTTTCTATCCTTTTTTCCCTTCCCTTTCTCCGATACACCTATGCTATTTATTACTTCGTGTTCCAAAATTATCTTTCAGTTTGAATTTTTACTTTTAATATATTTTATACTAAAAATGAAAATTTAAATTGAAAAATAATTTCGAGACGGAGAGAGTATCGAAAAAAGACTACTATTAATCTGGAGTTTCATGCGCAGATTTCAGCCGGTTTGATAGTAGTTGTTTGCTGCACTGAATTACTAACTTGACCAGTAATTTTTTTAGGTCGTTTGATGTTGGGACTAGATCCCTGCGTGATCACCACCAGGACCTCCTCTCTCTCTTCTTTCTCTCTCTTCCTCTCCTCCTCCCTACCGAACCTCTCCCACCAACAACAATTTCTCCTCTCCCCCATCCACCATTCAATTTCTTTAGTTTTAGTTTTAGTTTTTTTTCATTGGCTAGTCTCCTCCTAATGGGAGTTTTTGCTCTTCCATTTTGGAAGTATTACGTCTCTTATTTTGAGAGATTTGTAGATTTGATGAACATGAGAAAATTCAAACTTGATGGAAGGAAAAAAAAAATATACATAGAGTCTGAAAGAACAACAAGGAAAGATCTGCTACAAACCTAAGTCTTATAGGCGTCTTTTATCTAAGATTTCTAGATTTAGATTTAGATTTAGATCTGCAATGTAAGTTAGATCGCGAGTAGTTCGTATTTCTTTGTAATATTGTTTTTCTCTGTATCCTTTTATTGACTGTGATATTTTCTTTCTGTAATCAGTGTAGTTTCTACAACTTAGCTCAAATTAGTTAGACCTAGAGTTGACTAGGTTTGACAGAAATGCTTGATTTTTTTAGCTCAATCAATAATTGTTGTAGCTCAATTCTTTGTAGTTGTATATTACTTATCATTTTCTTAATATATTATGATTATCGCTTGTGGAAAAAAAAAAAAATCACCACCCGGACGAAGTGGCTTTTGGAGTTTTCAATTAGGAGGATACAGGAGGCTCTTGTTCCAGGAGGTTAAAAAACCCTAGTGGAGAAAACGTATGGATGAGAAT